AGAGAGAGAGAGAGAGAGAGAGAGAGAGAGAGAGAGAGAGAGAGAGAGAGAGAGAGAGAGAGAGAGAGAGAGAGGGAAGGGGGAGGGAGAGAGAGAGAGAGAGAGAGAGAGAGAGGGAGGGGGAGGGGAGAGGGGAGAGGGAGAGAGTCAAAACACTTTAATCCATTAATTACAATGGTTATTCTTTACATAAATACATATATATTTACGGTAGATTATTGAAGCGGCGCTTTCTTTTAATTTCGTTTTGAAATTACAGAAGCTGTTAATGCCTCTTATATTATCTGGTATCATGTTCCATAACTTGGGTCCACGTATTTCCATCTGTCGTGCCCCTGTATCGGTCCTCGATCTCTTAAAATAAAGAGAATTTACTTGACGTGTCTGAGCACCTGATGTGTTCACTACAGTTTGCAAGGGCATTAACCATAATTCCCATGAATGAATTTATAAATGAATAAACATGTGTCACAACTGCATTTTGAATGGACTTTTAACCTTTTTATTTTTTTGGATATGCGGGGTGGTGATCAAGTTTACTGATATTATCTAATGCAACTCTTGCATCAATGTTTTGTATTTCTTTTTGTACTTTTTGCATCATAACTTAGATAATAAGTTATTGGCCTCCAGGAAACTCGTCAGTTGATTAGCTACATTTTTAAAAGGAATTCTGGACAATATAGGGAGTATATTAACAGGGCGATAATTATTCACACCGTCTATATCCCCGACTTGAAAATTTGTGTGTTACTATACCATGTTTCCAAAGCGACGGAAAGACACCAGTGACCAGAGAGGTGTTAATAATGACCGCCAATTTAATAATAATTATAATAATTATGTTAATAATGGAATCGCGGGTAGACGATCTCTGATAAAGCGCAAAGCAATACCGTCTGCTCCTACACCGTTTGTTTAGCGAAGGTGTTTTATTAATAAGATGATTGTTTCTACGTCAGCTGGTTGTGGTCTAAAAAAAAATAGTTGTGAGCTTTGCCCGCTTTGTTGTAATGTAGAAGCAGTTGTTTGTTCATAAGTTAGTTTTCCAAATTTTGAAAAGAAGTCATTAAAATGCTCTATGCTTTGTATAGGATTTGTACAATCACTAGTGAGGTGTTCGTTGTGAGACACTAGTGTTTTAACAACATTCCACCTTTTATCAGAGTTTGTTTCCTATATTCTGTGAATTTTATTTCTAAAATCATTTCTTTTTGCACTTTAAATCAGCAATTTCACATTTTTCTTTTGAACTTTATAATCTACCTGAAAAGGCGGCTTCATTTCTGTTACTTACTTTTAAGGGCTGGGTGGCCATTATTTCTATCGCTAATGGCTCTCTTGATGTCGTCATGTGTTAGGTACGGAGCCAGCGCGTCAATGCTGCTTTTAAATAACTTCCGTGACAGTAGTTACTTGATTGTTTACATTATCTGTCAGTGAAATATCTAATCAAGTAATTTCTTTAGACAAGATAAGCTCGGCAGAAAGATCGAGGGTCGTAGTGTTTGACATCGCTATTATTATTATTATTTTTTTTTTTTTTTTATTAATTATTTTTTATTTTTTTTTTATTATTTTTTTTTTTTTCTTTAAGTACTGGTGATCGCTTTGTTTTCTTTATGTTGTTTTAACGTCATGGTGGGAAGTTCATGGTCAAAAGCAACAGGCATGGGATGACATCGGAGGGGAGAAATGATGTCTGATCTGTTTGGTTATTTATCAAATGTAATAGAGGAGAAGTGTTTTCTGTAATTCGTGTAAGTTATCTATTAATTGTTTTAATCTATTTTTTTAGAGAGAGAGAGGGAGAGGGAAGACTGGAAGAGGGAGAGGGAGAGGGAGAGGGAGAAGGGAGAGGGAGAGGGAGAGGGAGAGGGAGAGGAGAGGGAGAGGGAGAGGGAGAGGGAGAGAGAGAGAGAGAGAGAGAGAGAGAGAGAGAGAGAGAGAGATGAGAGAGAGAGAGAGAGAGAGAGAGGAGAGAGAGAGAGAGAGAGAGAGAGAGGAGAAAGGGGAGGAGAGAGAGAGAGAGAAGAAGAGAGAAGAGAGGAAAGGAGAGGAGAGAAGTAGAGAGAGAGAGAGAGAGGAAGGGGGGAGAGAGAGAGAGAGAGAGAAGAGAGAGAGAGAGAGTAGAGAGAGAGAGAGAGAGAGAGAGAGAGAGAGAGAGAGAGAGAGAGAGGAGTAAGAGAGAGAAGAGAGAGAGAGAGAGAGCGAGAGAGAGGGAGAGAGAGAGGAGAGAGTAAGAGAGAGAGGAAGAGAGAGAGAGAGGAGAGATAAGAGGAGAGAGAGAGAGAGAGAGAGAGAGGAGGGGGAGAGAGAGAAGAGAGAGAGAGAGAGAGAGAAGAGATGAGAGAGAGAAAGAGAGAGAGAGAGGAGAGAGGAGGAGAGAGAGAAGAGAGAGAGAGAGAGAGAGAGGAGGGGAGAGAGAGAGGAGTGGGCAGAGAGAGAGAGAGAGAGAGAGTAAAGAGAGACGAGAAGAGAGAGAAGAAGAGAGAGGAGA